TTAGAGTTAACCAATTTTGATACTTGATTGAAATTGACACAATTCTCGTGTGATCGACACTCTATTGTCACTATTTTATTACTTGTCTATGATTTTGTGCACTTACGGATTTTTCACGAACAATCATTCTTCTTCATTTTTTCTTAACTTTTCATCTTTTTCTATTTTTAACGTTTTTTTTTAACTTTTTTTTCTTTTCTTTTACCTATTGTCTTTTTTTTTCTTTAATATTCTTTGGTGTTTCATTTTTTTTACAACATCCTTCATTAAAGTACTTTTTTTACTTTCTTTTAATTGAAATAATTCCTTTCAATTATGTCCCTATTTAAGTTTTTTTTCTACTTTATAATTTAAATTCTTTTTTTAACTTTTTCTCCTTTTTAACTTTTTTTTTTTATTTTTTCTTCTTTGCTTTTTCCAATTGTCCCTTTTGTTTTTTTCCCTAATATTCTTTAACAATTTTTTATAATATTTGCCTTTCAAATATTTTCTTTTTGACACTTTCTTTTAATTAAAATAAATCATTTGAAATATGTCCTTTTTTCTTTCTTAATTAAAAATCTCCTATATAACTTTAATTCTTTCTCAATGTGATTTGTTTAAGTAGTTTTTTTTCTTCTTTCTTCAATTAATGAACTTGCCTTATAAGGAGACCATGTATTTTAACGCGGGATCTAACTTATAAAGTTATTTTTCACGTGCATAACTCAATTAGTAATAATAATAATATACAAAAAAGAGGGGAAAAAAGAATGGGTTCATATTAGGTCTTGACCTAGAAGATCCCATATGTATATATATACCTACATTATTCTCATAAGCCCTTATTTTACACTTTCTTTTTTCCTCTTGTTTGTGTGCTTCCTCACAATCCCACATCTTATTTCTTTTCCAAAGCACAATACACCCACGAATTTCGATTGGATATTCCTTGTAGTCAAGATTTAGGGCCCGTTCGGTTCGCTAATTCGAGTTTTTAATTTGAGTTGAGATGTGATGTTGTGTGAGAGCTTTTTACTGTAGTAAAAAGGTTAAATGTGACTGTTTCTGAGAGCTTTTTACTGTAGCAAAACTCGAATCTGTGAAAAGAACGGCGCCTTAATTGCTTTTTTATTGAGTTTTATCAAGTGTTTGAATTTTAAGAGAGCGAGCACGTCGTGAAGCAGGACGTTAAATAAGCTAGCGAATCAAGTAAGTATATTTTCAACTGCAACACGAGTTAATGATAAAAGCTAAAGAAAAACGTTGAAAAAAGTTCTATGATGATTTTAAGATGTGTTACGCTTTTCTTCTTTAAAGAATTTTGTTGCGACAAAAAGGTTAACGGATGATTTTCCAACTTTTATGTTATGTACTATGAAAGTAAGGTTTCGCACGTGTGTGTGTGTGTATATATCACCTCAATAAGTGTTGCATACCCTATGTTTATGCTTGTCTCACTAAGTGGTTTGTCTGACAAAGTGAACTGTCATGTTTAGTCTGAGATTATCTACCTTTTTTTGTTACTAGTATCTCTAACTTTACTCTATAATTAATCATGAGTTGCTCAAAATTATTTAGCTTATCTCTAACCGATTATTGATTTGGACAGAATTATAATTCTAATAATTTATATAAACATTCTCTTACGCCTTTCGTTCATTTCCAAAATTTACTAGAATCATCTTATTTTGAAATTTCATCATACAAAATCACAGACTCGAATACAATCAAATTTCACAGATTTACATCTCAATAATACAAAAGAATGACATATTTAAATTGCATTACAAGAATAATCTGACATAATTCGACAGATCAACGGAGAATTCATTGTCTAAATCTGAACAAATTCTCAGATTTATATTAATGAATTTCCTAGACATTACAAAAAATAAGGTCTCATTCAGTTTGCCGATTCGAGTTAAGATGTGATTTAATGTGATAACTTTTAACTGTAGTAGAAAAATTAAATGTGACTATCATTTTTAACTGCAGTAAAAAAATTAAATATGACTTTTTGTAAGAGCTTTTATATGTAGCAAAATTAGAATTGAAAATTAGAATTGGTGAAATGAAACCCCACCTCTAACCTGCCGACCTTATACCCTCATCGAGTGCCACCGTCATTCTCTCACCTCCTTGCGCTGCCCCTACCCTCGGTCGTGCCCCTCGTACGCCTCGAGCGCCACTGGATCTCGCATCCACCTCTACCCTCGCTTCTACCCCTGAGCACCGGGAAACTCGTCCATCCCATCACAGTGAGTTGAGATCCGACGAGCCTGACCTTACCCACGTGATCCCGACGACGGCGCCGCTCAAACCACCTCTCCCCCAACGTCGTTTATGTGCAACCCACCCACATCTTCAGCCTTCAACGTTGGCGTAAACCAACCTCCAATCAAAGGTTCTGTGAAGCTATGGAGTTCAGCTCTGATTGCTTAAGCTTTCAATTCTTGTAAAACTTGGATTCAAACGTTTTGGAAAATGTTCTTCACTAGAAATCTAAACCGTTTCAAATCTTACCGGTTAACTTTTTTATTTTTCCTTAATCTTTAATTAACTACGTCTTAGAGTTGGATTCTTATAATCTGAGTTTTGGAAAGTTTCTTCGTCTCATCGTGATCTACAAGCTTCTTATTTCACAAAAAATGAGGTTCGGCCTCGGAACGGTTTGAAATCTTAAAAATAGTGGCTGCACAAATATTATTTTGAGCAGTTTTTGAAAACGGCCCGAAAACGCTTCCTAGAGTCAGAATTGTGACTTTTTACAGTTACAGAGATTTTTTCGTAACGTCAAAACCTTTAAGACTCGTGCCTCAAAAATTCAGAAATTACCCTATAAAAGGTCCAAAAATAGTAAGATAAAAACTAACTCAAATTGACAGTTTTGATGAAATTCTCGATAGTTTTAGAAAAATATCTAAAAACATATTTTAGAGGTAAAATGGAGATTTTTCTCACTCACTAAAAAATGTTCAGCATGTCGAAATCTACAACTATTGTGAAATATATTTTTTCTTAATTTGGTCTCTAACAGCTCTGAATTTTAAATCAAAATGGACTGAAAATTTTAAACCAAAATAGAAACTTGTCAACTTAATTTTTTTTTTATCTTTAACCTCTGAAAATTAACATGCAAAGCTTAGATCTTATTCTAAACACACAAAACAACAACCTTAGACCATAAAATACAAATTTAAAAATATAGATTTAACATTGAAACTCCTTGCATGTGAAGATCTAACCTTTTAAACATATATAAACAATAGAAACACAAACTTTGTAACCAAACCGAACTTTGTTCTTAAAGTTAAAATGATCAAGATAAGTTTTAAAGAATCTTACCACAAATCTTAAGAGAGGAATAGTTTTGACCACTAAAGTGAGAAATTCCTACAAAGATTGAAACTTTTAAGGAAAAGTTGGAACTTTGAACAAAGAAAATCAAAGAAAAAGGTTTTGATCTGAAGTGCTAGGAATTCCTACACAAACTCATTCTCCTTCTTCTAGATTGTGATTTGAAGTCTTCCTTGTGTGAGAGAAGTGGACAAATTTTGAGAGAGAGAGCTTGAAGGGTTCGCCCAAACAAGGGGAAAAAAGAGAGAGATTGAAAAAAATAAGGAAATGGTAAAAATGAGCTTAATTCTAAGTGGTGGTATATATAGACAAATGGTTAAGCTAACTTATCACTAATTAAGGCCATCTTAATCAAGCTCTATGGACTAAAATTTGATTATAAAAATGCTTAGTATGGCTGGTCATACTTAGTGAGAAGAGAGAGAAAAGTTACACTTAATGATGACTTAACCATGTCATATCAAGGTTAAATCCTTGTTTCCATTTTGTCTCCCAAAATCTCCTTCTAAAACTGATTAAACTTGTACTGACAGTTATTTTTAAATCAGTTAACATGACAAATAATTTCAAACGATTTTCAATCCACTCTTTAAACCACAGTCCAGCATTATATTTAGAAGAAATTAATACCGGTTTAGATTTAAAATCGTGTAGATTATTCGGGCTATTTCTAGACTTTAAAATTTGTCTTAAAATAACTTAAAATCTGACTTTTACATACGTGTCTTAAACTCTCAGTAAAATATAATAACCTACAGAATTGATTTTCAAGCTAGACTTTACGGTTTTACTGAAAATGCAACTCGTGTAACACCGATTTTACTAATTAGCAATTAAAGATTTCTTTAAATATTAGAGTGCTTCTTAGAGCATTGCTAACATTGTATCGTACTTAGAAATTCTTATGAACAAAATTACGAGTCATAGTCGAATCGAAAATGTCTCCTGTCTTAAATCGCGGTGAGGATTATCGACTGAGGCATAACATAAAAATTTTTGACATAAAAATTTTGGAATAATATTATTAATTCCATAAATCCTTCATTACAAAACATGTCATTATCTAGGAAATCAATGATTTAATTACGTAAATTAGACTAATTAACATTAAGATTTTCTCGGTCATTACAAGAAGAGAGAGATCGTGGAGAATAATCGTGATCTCCGGTGCGGCGTCACAAATGGCGGTGAGTTGGCCGGCTTGTGTGAGTGGGGGCTGTGAGAAAGAGGGGGAAGTCTGATGTGAGAGAGAGAGCGTCTGGAGAGAGAAAGAGATTGTTGGATTAGGGAGAAAATGATGAAAACCTAAGAGTAAGGACAAAGTTGGAAAAAAATATTTTATTTTAGGTTGAAATTTGAAAGCATGCTTTAATTTATCAACATTTAAAAAAGATGTTAATTTTCTTCATACATATATATGAATTATGGTAAGGTGTATTTTTCCCAAAAAATAATTTGGCGTTTCTTATTAGCCCAATTTTATTTAAATTAGATACGTCTTGCTTGTAAATAGGCGGACTATTTTCAAAATATAATAATATATTGCAATATCTCTATTTTTTTTTTTTTAGAAAAACTAATTTCTCAACCCAAGCACTAATTATTTCCAACGGAGAATTGATTGGGAAAATAGATTCAATTAGACCAAGTAAAAGGTCTAGTTTACAACATAATTAAAGTCAACAACTGCGCGCACATATAATATGTTTATAATGTTACACTAACATGTACACCACAATCTCACTTGCTTCTCTTCATTCTCATTCTTCACAAAACACTCTCATAATTATTGATCTTAACATGATCATCTTCTTCATATGGACTATAAACGACAACAGAGCTTCTAACGACGTAACGTGAGCTTTTCCATGCAAGCCTACCGGAAACCATTTGTCCCTCCCTGCTAGGGTCCCATTTTGCCTTCACCACAACCTTAAAGCTCCTCTTCTGCATGGCTTTAGTGAAAACAAGGCTCATCGGAGTCACGGTGATCTCTACGCCTTTTGGAGCTATCACGGTGGCGTTGTAGCTAGACCTAGGCGGGCCAACATTGGTGACAGTCCTCCGGTATATGGCCAATGTCGTTTTTTGTTTCCTCTTTAGGGTTAACTGGAAAGTGGGATAGTTGAGACCGTCGTAGCCAAGGCCTGGGATCAAGGATGAGCAATTTACGAACTTCGAACCAATTAGAGGAGCGAGAGAGGAGTCTTTGTAGCCTTCTAGGCAGAGGAACTGGATGTAGGACATGTTGTTCATGTCGTAGATTAGGCCCGGGTTCAGAGCTCTTCTAGGGTTCAGTTGGCCGGCTCCGTAGGCGAATTCGGCTTCAGCATTTACCCTTGGACTCATGGGTGTAGCTTCATTGTTAAACACAAATCAAACAAAGGTTAGAGGTAATAATGAAATTGAGCACTACTACTTATAACTAACGTTGGGAGATTTGCATAATATATAAGCTACTTATAACTAACTAAACAGTGTTATAAGAAAGTTAATTTTATGGTAACAAGTAACAGTTATATAATTAAGATATTTTTAATGCAATGGGAACTACTAAAAATTCTTAATTTTGAGATGGAAATTAATTATTTACACACATATCTTAAAGCAATGTAATTTCAAAAAGTCAGTAATTCTACATATATAGGATGAGAAGTACAATATAGTAAATGAATAAGTATATAGCAAACACCAATTTGTAAAGGGATAAATTATTTTCGTATTTTGTGCTATAGCGAAACATGTTCTTAGTACCCGGTGTTTTTGATAATATTAAAGGGGTACATCGACATTTTTAAGAACATATTTAGATATTCTTGGTACTATGAAAATTGATTTTTGAGATGTAAAATAACCTTAGTACCCTTCTATTTAATTAATAAAAAAAACTAATAGATTTAAAAAAATCATTAATTTTTTTATTTTGTTATTTTCTTTTAAATATTTTAATTTTTTTTTAAATGCCGCTTTCTATAATTGATAAGAATTATAGTTTGGACATTACATGTCTTAAAAATTAGCTTTAGAGTATCAAAAAGATGTTTTTAAAAACATTAAACTGTTGTTTTAATATTATTAAAAATACAAAAAGAACATGTTTGGCTATAATATATGGTACTAAAATGATTTATCCCATTCATAAATATACTAAAAGTTGAGCTAAATTCTACTAAAATAAAAAAAATAAAAAAATTTGTGCTACGTTATATAATTTGCGTGTCAAGTACTAGAGGCAATTGGCAAACCATTTTTTGGTCATTACAGCTTTTCAATTACTACGTCAGTGAAAATTGCAGTCACAAACTAATTTCTCTAACTATTGGACTGGAGAATTCTGTAATATAGTATTGTAAATAAACTCTTTATTGATCACGTATGTATTTAACCCATAAGATTTGCATGAGACTCAAGTAAAATATTGGAGAAATGAACATAAAGCTCCTTGAGGGATACCGCACAAGGCCCACTTTGATCATGTAGAATACGGATTATTACCAATACATAGAATATTTTGCAATATAGAGAATTCTCAGATTTATGGTATTGCAAAAATTTTGGACCACTTTCTATCATCATATTGATCAGTTCAAAAATGACAGAATTCTGAAAAAAAAAAAATACAAAATTATTGGGTGTGTTTGAAATTGGTTTTAAAATGATTTTATTTTCAATAAAAAGTAAAAATGAGATAATTTTGAGAATCATTCTGGAACCGATTCTAAAATTACGTTTGGTTAATTTTTTAAGAGATTATTTTGAGTATATAAAAAAGTGAAATCGTGTTTATTAATTAATATATTATAATATTCTTGATAAGTACTAAAAATGAAAACATAAAAGTAAAAACAACTTTCAACTGTTTTCTAATTCCATCACAAAAACCATTATCACTGTTTTCGTTTTCAAAACATTTATTAAAAAAACGTTGTTTCATTTTTATTTTATTTTTTCCTTCTTAAAATACGTGAAAACCGTTTTCAAAAATGGTTTCAAACACACACATTAATTTTCTCCGTAAAAAGAACCAACATAATTGAATAAGTGAGCTAAGTGGGAATCATTAAAAGATCTTTGGAGACTAACGGCCCGTTTGATTAATAAAAATTTAAATTTTTTTAAATTTTTTTCAAAAAAAAAAAATAGTGTAGGAAAAGGTTGAACCAAAACTTTTTTAGTTCATATCAATTGTAGCTTATAAGTTAAATATAAGTTAGTTACCGGTGGTTAAGATGGCGGATCTGATGGCAGCAGGAGACCAGTGGGGGTGGAATGACTTGACATAAGCAGCTACGCCGGCAACGTGAGGACATGCCATAGAAGTGCCGGACATGATGGTGAATTTCGAGAATTGAGTATCGCCTTTAAGCCCCGTCAGAGACTTCAATGGCGTGTAAGATGCCAATATGTCTATCCCAGGTGCTGCAATATCAGGCTGCACCAATACCATATTTATTTATTCATTAAAGCACATTTAGGCTCATACATACGATAAGTAAGTCCTCCAGTTCAAACCAACAAGAGAAAAAGAAAAAGAAGAAGAAAAAAAAAAAAAACCTTAGTATAGGTGACATACTTAAAAAAAAAAAAGCACTTTTATTCGCAATATTGAGACTTCTAGTTGTAAAAATTTTTTTGTGATTAAATATCACTGGGCCATGATTCCACAGATTTGTAGCTGATGTGTATTTTGTCACAAATTTTGATGTGACCGAAACTATTAGTGATAAAGTTTTTAATTAAGGAAAATAGTTTTTTTTTTTTTTTATTTAAGAGTGCGAAAGAGTTTTAATAAGTTTCCATGATGCACGTATAATTATATGTATTCGTCTGGTTATGAATGCGTTTGTGATCAACACTTTTACCTTGAGTATGCGTTTCGTTCCTGGACTTGGACCACGAGATGAAAAAGAAGCGATGAACGGAGCACGTACTTGTACTTCATTGGACTTGTGTATCACAGCCGTCGCTGAACTGCGTATGTTCAAAAATGCCCCAAAGAAATATCAAAACTTCAAAATCCAATTGATTCTTTTTTTTTTTTTTAGCTAGTTATGCAATATTACTTACCCAGTTGAGTGTATGTAATGGTTGATGGTTTCACCAATCGTGGAATTGACTATGGTGGCCGGGGCCATGAAAATTTGCGCGGCATCGAGAAACTGATCGCTTTCGACGATGGTGCCAATCCCTCCAATTCCCTTGATCACTGAGTCAGCACCCCAACTTGCAAGCTTGCACAAGACAAGCTTTCCTTTTACCTTCTTGGAGTCTAGAGAGTCCGCGTAACAGAACCTATTTATAATGGTTCAAAATGGTATCTTTATTATCTTTTGTGGAAACCATACATGTGAACACACACACTAGTAAATATATGACATATGATTTATACCTTGCGTCTTCCTTGCTTGCAGAGTTGTGGGCTATATCATCCCCACTAACAAGAGGGTACATTTTCTGCGTAGGATGAAATGTGCTTATCCCACTCCCCTGCATTTCATGTACGCAATTATGACCATGGTTAAACCTTAATAATTAATGTTTTACACAAAATAGACAGTACTTATTGGACTTAAAAATTAAACCCGACATAGTATTTTTTTTATTTCTCTTTAACTTCTGGTTCGATGGTTGGAATGTTCAACTATTATATGTCTTCACTAATACGGCATTAAGAAAAAAAAAAAAAAAAAACGAAGGAAGAGGTAAAGAAGGTGCTAAATATCACCACTGAGAGCTCTGCCTCTATGTTAATATACTTTTTCAGTCCTACAGATGATGTTATAATAATACGACTGAGATGATTTCCAAACTATATGAAAATAATGTTACGTTATATTATTTACTATCATCCAATGTTGCATCCATGAAATTTTCAGGATTGTGGTAGAACTAAAATTTTAAACTAAAACTAAAATTGACTACCCTATTTAAAAAAAAAAAAAAAAAAAAAAAAAAAAAAAAAAAAAAAAAACTTTATCTCTCTTTTTTGTTTTCTTTTTATCTATTTTATTGTCTTTTTATATACTTCTTCTAAATAAATTAATTTGTGATATAATTTAAGATTATTATCACCAGTGTTCCTGAACTATAAAGTCATTTTTAGCTTGCCCTATGAACTTTAAAAGCTCTCATTTTACCTCTTAAATTTTGAGTTGTTCTCACTTAACACTTTATGTTATAATTTCTATTAAAAATAGATTAAAAAAAAGAATAATGCAGTCACGTAATTTTTTCGTTTAAAATTCTATTTAAAAAAATAGATAAAAACCATATAGTCACACTTGATCTCATCTTTTTCTGTCTGAGTTAACATAAATTCTAATAAAATGGTTTAAATGGGACAAATTCAAAGTTTAAGGATACCAGTGAGATTAATCATGTAACTAATTCACTTATTAGGGGAATTTATATTTGATCAGAATTACAACATGCGGGATCAAAAATGTAAAACTTACCAAAATGCTCTTTCCATCTCCAAACTGGACTTGGCTCTTAAACGCCCTATCAATGCCACTAGCAGCCACAGTCAGTAACCACGGCGCATGATTGGAAACACTGCCGAGACTCGGCCCGTCATTACCCGCCGAGGTGACGGTGATGATGCCGTTGTTCATGGCATGAAATGAGCCGATTGCTATAGAGTCCGCCGTGTAGTCAGCTGAACCCCCACCAATTGAAAGCGATATCACGTCGACGCCGTCGTGGATTGCGGCATCAAATGCGGCAAGGATGTCGATGTCCGAGCAGCCGGAGGAAATCCAACACACCTTGTACATGGCCACCCTGGCCGAAGGCACGGCGCCCCGTGACGTCCCCTTGGCGAGGCCGAAGAGGCTGGCATTCGGAACATTGTCGCCAGCTAAAGTAGAAGACGTGTGAGTACCGTGGCCGTCGGCGTCCAACGGAGAAAGGACATCTGATGGGTCTGGATTGCCGTCTAGCTTGAAGTACCTGGCTCCTATAATCTTGCTAACAAGACGAAATATGGAAGAACAGAAGATTAGGATCACTACTAATTATTAATTAGGGCACAATAATATTTTACCAAACAGGAAAAATAAAAAGTCAATTTTAGGTATTTATGACAACCAATCTTTTCTTTAAGGTACATAAAAAAGAGCCCAAAGCTTTTTCCTCCTTTTGATGTGTGGCATTACAAAGAGAATTTTTCTTTTTAACACATGGACATCATCTTTTATTTTCTTTTTCTGTTTTTTTTTTTCACTTTTCCCATTTGTTTTTTCCCTAACGTTTATAGACAATTTAAATCTTTTTACAATATGTTTATTTGAAATACTTTTTTTCCGCTTTGCACCTAATAAAATAATTTATTTTAAATATATCCTTATTTTTTTCCTTTTTGTTGTTTTGCAATTTAATCATTTTTCATATCTTTCTCAAAACATTTTTTCTTATCTTCATATTTACAAATTTTTTCTCAATAGTACTCTCAATTTATCTCATAAATAAAACTACTATAATTTATCATCGTTTTGGGTTTTAGAGAGAAAAAGTTAGCGAGAAAGGGTCTGAGAGTTTCACAAATAAAATCATATTTTACTAATAATGTTACTAATAATTTTCAAATATAACAAAAAAATTATATTTTACAAATAAAAAATGAAAATTATTATTTAATTTTATAGTATAAAATGTGAAATTTTATTATTATAATAATTATGTAATTTTGTTGTTTTTAAAAACATTTAAAAACAATGTTATATTTCAGCTAATTCACTCAAATAAACATCTTAGTGGAATTATTCAAAATCATTTTGATGGGATATCCAATTTAATGGCCCATCCCACTATATATATAGCCAAATTCAATATTCATTCAAAAATATTTTTCTAGTACTTTTTATTTGGTGGAAAAATAATATTATGGCCCTGTGTATAGCTTTAATTCGTATATTGTACTCTTTTAGGGAATTAATTGGTATCATGCATGATGCTTTAAAATAAAGACAAGAACATAAATATTTACTTGTTGCATCCCGAAAAATTAGCAGAGACATCACAGGTTCCTTTCCAATGTGGCGGTAGATCAGGTGTAAGTCCGTAATCTTTAAAACTATCAGACTGTGGAGTTATCCCTGGTGCACAAAACACATATTGAGTGCATAAATTTAGCAAACAAAAGTATTTTATTTCAACTATTTATATGAAAATAAACCCAACTATTCTTTTTTTCTAGTGATGAAACTTGCAATATTTAATCCCAAGCTCTGATCAGTTACCACCCAGGGGTTAACATTCCTGGGAGGAATGAAAAAATATCTTATTAATATGCACGGTTCTGCAAGTATCATGTATATTATCTCTGTAAGTGTCATGTATATAATCCATCAAATTACCTTAAATCGTCATTCTTTTCTAGATCAAAATTCGTATATGATAGCATGTTTGGCTATTAAAACCTTTTCCGGGTGAATTCTCCGTACACAAATAATACTTCCAGATAAAAAGAAAAACGTTGCCAATCAAGTTATTAGAGATTAGAAAATAATGAGTATTCCTTCTTTTTTGAGAATACCGGTGTTTTCTGTTTATGAGTATAGTTAAAAGTCAAATCAATTTAAAAAAATAATATAAATTTGACGACCGCTAAGTAAAGAACACGGGTGTCCTAAAAGTACACGTTCTCAAACAACAATTATATTATTTAATATATGAACCTGTATCGAAAAGGCCCACAACAATGTTACTTTCTGCCTTCAACTTTCTTCTAGCTGTCAGAGGCAAACCAATGAAGTCCCAAGATTTTGTTGTATGTAGCTTGCGGTACCTATTTGGAATTACAGACAGCACTTCGTCCATCTCTATACGTTATTATAATTCACAAGAAAAGGATTAATTAATTCGGTTTATAATATGAACCAACAAGCATTTATGTAAAATTTGACTTCACGTCCACGTACGTACCAGCTATCTTGTTGGCTTCATCACTAGAAAGCTCTGCAGCAAATGCATTGAAGCTCTTTGTGTAGCTGTAGACAATGGACTCCTTAGCCTCAACAAAGCTAATTAATCACCCACAACATCAACAACAACATACGTCAAGTCAAGATATGGCAAACATTGATTTTGAAATAAACCGACAATCAACTCGAATTATAAACTCGAATCAACAAAGTGAACGGCCCTTAAAGTAATTTAACTTCATTTTTAACTTAATTCCTTCTTTTATGAGCAATGCTAAAATATATAATAATATTATCTACTCTATTGTAATGTGAGTTTGTGAGACCTATATATTATGTAACACTAGTGGCAGAGCTACGTGGTGGTGAGTGGAGGATCGTGACACCATTCAAATTTTAAGAACTCAAAATTTCTTAAAAGACTTTAGCATTCATTTCGCGGATTCGAGTTTTCAATTCGAGCTGAGATGTAACATTTTCTGAGAGTTTTTAACTACAGCAGAAAATGTTAGATGTGACATTTTCTGAGAGCTTTTAACTGCAGAAACCTAGAACTAAAATCTCGAATCGGTAAAATGAACGAGGCATTCAGTTTTGCCCTCATTTATTAGAAAAAGAAATTATAATTATGTCTCTGTTGACCAATAATTGAAATACATAATTATATCTCCACTCCATCCATTAAAAAAATCTCCATTTATTTTCTCATAATCCCCTTACCGTAAAATTTTCTAGTTACACTATGGTACGTGATACTATAGGACTGGACAAAAAGATTAGGGTGCTGAGAAATACATATTCCTTTTAGCATTTTCCCGCATTTTCGACAACACTAGACCAGTACTGTTACCATTCCCATGGCTGCTCAAGACGAGCACCTAAAATGGTGCTTTTGATTATTAGCGCCATTAGGCTTTAATTAAAAGAACAATATTATTGTTCTTCTTTATACACAAGCATGTTTACAGGGATTCAAGAGGGATGGAGGAAAAAATTGCAAACCTTTCTTTAACGGAGGATAAGACATCAATGTGCTTGCGAACTGCAGAATCTTCTTCGACCGGACGACCACCAAAGTAGATAATATAAAACTTCTGCGCATTGTTAACAATTCATGAACATGCGGGTTAAATTACAATAAAGCCATCGAAAAAACTTGAAAAAAAAAAAAAAAAAAAAAAAAAAAAAAAAAAAAAAAGAAGTAGAAAAAAGTATCAAACAAGAAAATCCACATATATACGAAAAATATCTCCGCACCTTTTCCTCAGATCCCTTGGAACTTACTAGCTGGCTTGTAAAGATCATAAGAAGATCAAGAAGTAGGAGAAGGAGAAGAACTTTCTTGCTGATCCTCATTGCTTGCACGGTTGAGGATATTATGGTTTTTGTATTATTAGCTAGTACTTTATGCAAAGTTGTCCTTTTAAAAGCACACAAAACAGCCTCTATATAAATGGTTTCAAAAGAAACAAAAAACAATAACGGAATATGTAGTAAAAGGATAAGAGGAAGAGACTTGAGCTTAACTTCCTTAGCTATTAATGGCTAGAGGTTTTTGTTATTGAGAAACCTTAAAGGGAAAACAACAGAAATTCTGGTTTGGCTTATGCTCCTAGTCAATGTCATGTATGGCCAATGAGATTGCTTCTTTTGGAGAAGCTTGTTGAAAGTACCGGCCAAAATTTTTTATCTTTGTTTGTTACATGAGTTTGTTCATGTTATAGGATATATTTTAGGCTCTATGTAGCTAAAAATATGTGGGCCATATTTAGTGCTTTTTTTTTTTTCATAATTATTTCATTTTTCCGTGATACTAATTGGAGAAGGGTAGTTGCATAGTCAAAACTCAAATACTCATTTTAGTTATAAGTTGGATTAATTCATTTCAAGCCTCTTGTTGTGGAGCGCACCAAATATAGGATTAGTATTGGTGTATATCAATTACAAAATATGAAGGATTTTAAATTATACACCTCAAGGTAGGATTTGGTGTGTATTTATTGGTAGGCTATACTTGCAATTATAAACTGTGAAAGATTATTCGAGCTGATCTATAATGGTCCAAACTTATATATTTTGACCTTTCTAAGAATATCATATTGTCAAATTTATAAGAGATTGCTTGAAAAACAAATTAATAAGAGCTTCCCATATAACACCAAACCTATTTTGCTTGAATTCCAATTCAAGCAAGATGACCTTTCAGGATATTCCTTGTGGAAATGAGGTTAGCTTAAGGTTTCTCAACAAGGATTGTTTAACTCCAAACGAGTTTGCTTATCTTAGAAATTATTTTTACCTTAGCCTGGAAAGGAAAGCGGTAATCAACTTGACCTCTTTTTTAAATGACCACTTGGACTAGTCCTTAAATTAGTATTTATTCTCAAACGTAGACAGAAAGACGTGTATGTATACAGAGAGTACTATTCCTTAACATTAATTATTCTAATTATAGTAGCTTAATTGTGCAGTACTCTGCTCAGATATGAAAAATAATGTTCTCCTTTTTCCTTTTGCCAGGCGATAAGAGAACTAGTGTTGTATTATGAAAGAAGTTTATGTCTTTCTTCTTTTTTATTCGCTGGAAATGTTATTTACGTTTGATTAATGTTTTAACGGTTAAATTGATTATTAGAAACATTTTTGAGTCATGGGCTTCAAGTTTTTAACATGATCATTTATACATCAAATTGTGAAAAAATTAATCTAATGTTTAAAACAACAATTCCTATGCTAATAAAAAAAAAGGACAATTCATACCCTAGAAGTTCCCATGAAAGAAAACAAGAATAGACAAGCAATTATTATTGTCACCATAAGAGCTTCTGACTCAATTACTTCATGTATAAATTGTTGGGAAATTTCCCGTTATTATATGAAACATATTTAATACAATTATATTATTAGGGCTATTTAATTATAATGGGCTTATATTACGTGATTAAATTATGAGAAGCCTATAGACTTTTACTGGGTATGAGTTTAATGAGTGGATACACAATACTGATTCAATTATGTTTAATGGGATCATAGTGGAACAATGTATAAAGACATTTGGTTATGGTTCCTAATACGTCAAACCATTTTACAACTTTCTCATAGCGAAAGGAGCCATTAAAAAACTAAAGAGATTTAACTGAGGAAGAAGACAATAACCCGTTCATTAATCATCGTTGTTATTCCGTTAAAGAATTGATTACTACTACTATGAATTCAGGTAAAATTCTAATCAATTTTTCTTGATATTTAACATGAGGTCCTGGCGTTGGTGATAGTTTTTCATCAATTAAAGTTTTCTTAACAAGTGGTATTAAAGTGGGAATCATGTTAAATTATTGAGAGATTTTTTATTCTCTATTCCGGTTGATGGTTGAATTATTCCGTCAAGTAAATTTTGGGTAACTACTATGAATTCAGGTAAAATTCTAATCAATTTTTCTTGATATTTAACATGAGGTCCTGGCGTTGGTGATAGTTTTTCATCAATTAAAGTTTTCTTAACAAGTGGTATTAAAGTGGGAATCATGTTAAATTATTGAGAGATTTTTTATTCTCTATTCCGGTTGATGGTTGAATTATTCCGTCAAGTAAATTTTGGGTATATATATATATATATATATATATAAAGTTTCCGTTTATCAAGTTTTGAAATATATATTTATATATGGATTTTGGATTAGGTCAGGGATATTTTTTTAGTTTATATGCATCACATATAATTTCGGTTCGGTGTTCTCATATATATACATAATGATTAAATGCGTTTGAGTACATATATAAATATATGTATATATGCTTCGGTTAATATAGATTTTCAGTATTGATCTCTTGATGGGAATTCATGAAAATTGGGCTTTATTTTTGTTAAGAAAAGGACGTATTATATTATAAAAAAATGAATAAATTATTTAAGAGTCTGGACTTTTACTATTTACTCTTAATAAATAACATTTTATTAGTGTGATTATTTAATTAAAAAAATTATGAATCAAGAGGTAAAAATTTTGACTCGTGCACTTTTAAATAGTATTTATCAAGATTAAATATTAGTTCATGATATGATTTTAGGATTTAAATTTATTATATCATTGATTTGAAGGTGAAATAATCAATTTAGGGTTCTTCAATTGATATTTTTTGCATTATTGAAATCGGGATTTTGGAATCAATTAAAGAAAATAAGGATTATGGCCGGTGGAAGAAGTTACCACCACCGCGTCGGAGATTTCAGGTCGCGGTTGTTTGACTGCGCCGGAGAAGGTTTGGCCGCCTAAGGCTCTGTTGTCGCGACCCCTGAGGCTTGGAGTGCAGCTCTAGGCCGCGCAAGCTATGCAGATTGCAGCCCAGAGCCGCGGGCCACATTCAGTTAGCATGGGCCTATGACTTAAAGTTGTTAGCCATGGGTATTAAACCGTGGCTGTAGTCATTAAAGCCATGTTAGTGGCTGTTGTGGGCTTCACGTCCATGTGTAGTAAATTTGGGTTATATTAACCCAATTAAGGAATTTAGTGCAAAAGAAATAAATTAATTAAGGGAGAAAGAGAGAAATAGGCCAAAACTTGAGATGAATTAAAATTAATTGGTCAATAGTTTACATAAGTTAATAAATAGGCTAAATTACTGTTTTCGTCCATAACTTGCTGGTTATGAACCATAACTTGACAAGTTATTGTCCATAACTTATCTGGTTATGAACCATAACTTGACAAGTTTGTCCATAACTTATCTGGTGATGAACCATAACTTGACAAGTTATGGCTTATTAATTTCTATAATTAAAAATTGGCCTATATACTTTCTTAAGCTTTTCATATCGGCCTATTTCCTACTATTTTTGATTAATTAATTAAACTTAAATTTCAGTTATATTTTTATTTTATTTAATTATTTTTTATTCCCGTTTTTGCACTATTTATCTGATATTTTATAATAAGTTAATTGAAATAATATGCTACGAAAGTAACCTCTATTGTGAAAATTAATTTATTTTAGAATATTAAGATGAGTGTGTCTATTATTTACGCGAATAATGACCGACCCAAAAGAATGTAATTGTTTGGCCAAATAATAGGCATACATGTAGTAATAAATATGTGATGATGAAGTTTTCCATGTGAGTAATATATGCGAATAAACATGTGAGTATCAAGTTTTCTATATTATGACATGAATATAGATTGCGAGCTTGTTGTTTTGGTTTGTTCTCTCTTCAATTTCTACTTTTGTTTATACAATATCTGCCAATATCAATTCAATTCCTGTGTTTAACGGCACAAACTTCAAAAATTGGAAAGAGAATATTATGATTGTTCTCAGTTGCATGGATCTTGACCTTGTACTATAGACAGAACGTTTCCCTTCTCTCACAGCTAAAAGTTCCACTAAGGTTAGAAGGGATTTTAAAAAGTGGGAGCATTCAGATTGCATGAGTCTAATGATCATGAAATGTTCCAATCCGGAAACCTTCAGGGACGCTATGTCTGAGGAGGAAAATACTACGAAGTTCCTTGAGGATATTAAAAAACATTTTACTAAAAACGAAAAGGCTGCAACAAGAAACAAGTACGCTTTTGAGCAATATTGTTTCAATAAGGTACAAAGGAAAAGGGAACATAAGGGAGTAGATTATGAAAATGCCTAATCTCACTTCAAAGCTTAAGACTCTAAAGTTAGAGCTGTTTGAGGACTTACTCGTGGATTTAGTTTTGATTTCTCTTCTTGCATAATACAGTATGTTCAAAGTGAGTTACAACACCCCAAAGGACAAATGGACTCTTGATCAGCTTTTTGTCAATGTGTGCAAGAAGAGGAAAGGCTTAAATGAGAAAAGGGCAGAAAGTGCTAACTTAGCAACTACCCTTCAGAATAAGAAAAAGAAAAAGAGGAAAAGAAGCTGTAGCTAGGACGCCACAGCATACGTGCAAAAGAAACGAGTTGAGGATTTTACATGTTACTTCTTCAAGAAGGTTGGACACATGAAGAAGGAATGTCCCAAATACGCCAATATGCGTGTAAAGAAAGGTATATGTGTTTCTCACTTTGGTATATTCTGAAGTTAATTTAGCCTCTGTACTTAAACAAACTTAGTGGATAGATTTTGGTGCTACTACCTACATAAGTATGCCTATGCAGGGTTGCTTATGGAGCCGACAGCTAAGTGATGCTGAAAGATTAATTTATGTAGGCGATGGCAAAACAGTTGCAATAGAGGCTATAAGAACTTTTAGGTTACTATTAAAGACTGATTACTTTTTGAATTTGAAAGAGACTTATGCAGTACCATCTTTTGGACGAAATTTAGTTTAAA